CAAAAAAAAATCCTTAATAGAGATTACGTGTTCATGCTTGATAAAGAAGGTACACAGACCTGTTAGACGATAACGTTGTCGAGTAACTGCTTTCAGAAAGTCATCATAAGGTTCACGAATTAATAATCCTCAACATAATAACAATGAAGCAGGTGTCGACATTGATTCTTCAATGAAAATTCCAGGAGATTATCAACAAATGACACAAATGATAAAATCAATTATCAGGCGACGAAGTAACATGGATCTAAAAGGAAATAAAAAAAAAGTTTGGGTCATGAAATCGATTAACATTATTCTCATCCTTTAATACACCATTGTTGAAAGAAGAACTTCCGGTGAAAATTTGCTAATAATACCTCGTTTTTTTGTTTCGTTATACCTAGTATTTACTTTTTTTTTTGTGATTTCATTTATTAAATTTGCAGAAGAGGAAATTATTTATTTTCCCCTGATAATCCATGTATTTGTATTGTAACACCCTAACGTAATACGAACTTTAATTTATGGAGTTTTTGTTGTATTCGCAAAAGCAAAATAAATTACATAAGATCAAAATGTAACCATCTCAATACCTACCATAGAAAAGTGACTAATCTGTCATTTTCCGTCAAAAGAGAGATGTCTCAAAGAATAAGGTATGCATTCGTATTATATAAAACTCACGGCGGGATTCCCGCGATATATCATCATTACCAAAACAAATGAAGGGGGCATGATTCATTGGATGATAAGCGTACTTAGATGCCATAAATGGATGCAAAGTGATTACGGCGATCGGTGATATGCGATCCTCATCATCATTTAGACCGGGTATTCTAATGACATTACCCAAGGGATTTGGACCAAAAATTCAATATTCCGGGAGCTGATGATCATTTTTACAACCCAACCGAAATCGGTTTAGGCGATCGACGTAACATTTGGAGTGTGGTTGATTATTTAACAAAGGACTTTCTTGTTGTGTAATTATCATTTAATTGTATTTGATCGATTTTTCGTTTCATGTTTTGTTTCCGATCATCCTTCGAAGGAATGATGTCAAATTCACTGTCTGTCAAGTTTAAAAATAAAATCGTAAACATCCGACCAATCATAAATATTTGGCTCCTTTTTCAAATGAATGGACGCTCCCCGTTTGTTTCATGTATTTATAATTATTTTATTATATACATATTATTTTATTTTTATTATTATTATATTATTTATTATTAAAAAAAAAAAAGACTTTTTTATTTCCCATTTTTGATTCAAAAAAAAAAAAAGAGACACAAGTGAAAGAATCTTCACACTTCAAAATAACATAAAAAAAAATTTTTTTTCCTCCTTTTTTTTTTTTTTGGTCAATTGTTCAGAAATCAAGAAATCAATCAAATCAATTAAGATTTAAAAAGTGAAACGCAATTGTGAGTGTCAAAAATGTACAAATGACCAAACAATACAACAATCTTTTATTCTCATGAGAAAAAAAAAATTTTTTGTGTATAAATAAATTTATTTATACATATTTGTTTAGGGCACGTTTTTTTGTTTTATTTTTGTTTAGTAATAAAATTTTTAGCTGTCATTTATAAATTTATATCGATTATTATATACGTGGTATAATATAATTATTATTATTATTATTATGCTTATAAAAAAAAAATTTTTTTTTATTTAATTAACCTTTTATTAAGTTAAAAATTGGGTTATTAACCGAATACAAAGGAGTAAAAGGAGTATAAAAGCAGCACCAGTTTGACGAAATCCGTATCATTCCCCAACATTTACCTTCTTTTTATTCCCACTTATTATTCCTTGCTATTCACGTCTCAATTATTATTATTTTTTTTTTATTTTTAACATCTCAATGTATAACGTTAGAGCGCACCCCTACAACAATTCATATCATCTATATGATTCATATCGTCCGTGCATTCATAATGAACCACGTATGCACGACTTTCACCAGGAAATTGATATAATGGTAGAAAGTTTTGTAAGGAACAATTACGCACCCACTACCCTTCCCATAAAAACTCTAATAAGCCCTAAACCAAAAGCACGAAGAAGTAGCATCCCGAGACCCCTAAATTCCTTTTTGATTTATCGAAGAGACTTTCAGGCGAGATTGTCAAAAGAGGCCGGACGTAAATTACCGATAGTTTCTAAAAAAGCGGGCGAACTTTGGAGATGTGAAACGGATGAGGTTAGAAATAGATACGAAAAGATCGCGGACCTGGCGGGGGAATTTCATAAAATACTTTATCCTAATTACGAATATAAACCAAACAAGAACAAAAGAAAGAGATCCGCGAGAACAAAAATGACAGAGCAAGATCAATACGGTCTTCAGGGAGCACCCTCTATGATATCACCGCCTATGAACATACAAGTTCCTTTATCTTTTGAAGATGTCGACAAAAATATGTGTCGGGTCTTAAGAGGCCCAAATTAAACGGAACGTTTTAACTAATTTTCTTTTTTTTTTTTATCGTGGCACCAAGATCGGTTCTTATTTTTTTTTCTTTATAATTTTTTTTGACACGGATAACGTTTTTTTCCCATTTCCGCAATAATAATAATAATAACAATACCAACGCAAAAAATTTCTTTTTTTTTTCCTTTAAGCATTTATGATGGTTATTTCCCTTTTACCGTTATTCCGAAAGGGTTTATGGACTTGTATTCCTTGATAATACATTTTCATTTTTTTTTTTTTTTAGTATCGTTTTTCTTTTCGTGTTATGATGGTTTTTAATTATTATTATTCTTTTCTTTTCTTTTTAAGTGTTTATTGTTTATGACTTCATTTTTCTATTCTGATATTTCTGTATCGTTTTTTTTTCTTGTTATTTATTTGTTTTAAGAATTTTTATTGTACGTTTCGTTCATAAAAAAAGAAATAAATATTCTCAGACGAGGTTTTTCATGATACGTAGCACAAGGACGCAGCAAGAATCGCGTACCGCAGCAAAAATTTGCCTTTTTTTTTTAATGTTTTTGTGCTTGTTTGTTTGTTTGTTTTGGGATGACACCAGAGATTGCGATTTCGCCCACAGGCGTGCGTGCCAGATGTCCGAGTGATCACGAAGTTAAAAGCGCCTTTTGATTTTGCTTGCTTGATTCGATTGGTGCAATCGCTACTCTCTTTTTTTTTTTTTTTTCCGACAATAAAGTCAGGGTCAATCAAGAAAAAATTGACATTTTTTTTTTTTTTTTTTTGAAACAAATTTCTAACTATAAATAAACACTAAATGTTCTGGACCGTTTTACTTCCATTTATTTATATTTATGAACTTTAAAATAATAAAATAAAAAAGAAGTCAAAATCTAAAATGCAATTTGGCGTCCAACAACCATTCTGACACAGCTCACCTCCCAAGAATGCGAGTCTGTCCGATGCATCTAAAGTAATCATGAAACGACAATACTTTTTCCGAAAATCGACGAAAATTCTTGAAACAAAAAAAAAACTCAAACCTCAAACCGTAAAAAAAAAAAAAAAAAAAAAAGAGCTCGACAGGAAAAGTAGAGAGATCAAGACATTTTGTGTACGGCAAATAAAAAATAAATGAGGAAAATATTCAATTCCGAGGAGATGATCCTTGTGGTGATTACCGAAAAACAAAAAAAAAAAAAAAATTTTTTTTCACCTTCGAGTATACCTTTTTCTCTTTTTGAAATTGGCACATGAGCAAAGATTGAGCGACCGAGGTAATATATGCCGTGACACGCGCGTACAATATAAACAGTTCTGTCAATGTTTGGTGTGATAAAGTCGAATGACCCAATCTGATCCACAAGCATTTCGTGAGTGATCGGTGTTTAGCCAAAAAAGGAAACTTGAATTTTAAAATAATTTTGAACCTTCCATTCACCGAAAACCGCCGTCATTTGTTGTGAATAAGCCCAATTCACGAGGTCATACTTGAACTAAAGTAATTAAAACCTTTGACCAAATATAATCGTCCCTTTTTTTTTGGATGATCGAAATTTCGACTATTCCCTCTTTTTTTTTTTATTTTTATTTTATTACTAATTGTTCCCATACATAAGAACTTTTCAAAAGGGAACAACTTCTCATTTTTTTTAAAAAAAAATGGTCAGGTAAAGGTTTTTGCAGATTCGGTGAATAATAGGTCAAAGGTAATGCAACTTTAGATTAACGAAATATTACTTTTTGACAAGATTACCACATGCCACATACCTAGTCTTAAAATGGTAGTTACTAATATCGCTGATAAAATATTAAAATAAAAAAAAATATTGTGTGATGTGTGGTTAAATGATTTGCATGGTGGGGATGCATGAGATGCATCATGATGAACCAAAAGTTGTTAATGAAAGATAAATTTGTTTTTTTTGAATGAATCACAACTGCGTCATACGTAAATAACCAATTAACTCTACTTTTTCGATATACCAATGTTCATGTATATTTATGCCTGTAAATGTATCTTTTTTTTTTTTTTTTTAACAACTTCGTTCTCTTCATTAAAAATCTTACACTCTTTTTAAATTTATAATTGAAGCGTCAATTCACCTTCATTATCTTGGTTATTTTCGTTATATTTCCTTCCTTTTATCATTCACCTCCATAACTTTTCCTTATTCCTTCGTTACCATATATCTTACCGACGAATTCCTCTAATCCTTTTTCTCTATAACGAAATAACTCGACGCTTATCCTTTCTCCATAAAAAATTTCGTAAACATGTCTAAACGAATGCTCTTCTTGATGTCAATAACATTATTAACGTTAAATACTGTAAATGCATTTCGTGGACAAGGAATGCTCTTCCTTGAATCGGATTTCAAGGCGTGCGGAGAAAGTGATGGGGATAAAGACATGTTTTGTGCATTAGTGAGTCTTTGATTTTTTTTTATTTTCTTTAATACTTTCTCGTAAAAAAAAATCTGACATTCCTGTTCGTTGTTCAAAGAATAGTGCTCAATTTAATGACTGTGGCAAACTTATTAAAATAAAAGGACCAAAAGGAAATGCCATAGTAAAAGTAAAATATGAATGCCCGACATGTTCTTTTGGTGATTTGGGCTTGTCACCCGAAGTTTTGAGTAAAATTGCTAATCCTGATGATAATGAAATACCCATTACTTGGTCATTCATAGGTGAAAGTGATGGGTTTATTCATGGACATAGAAATGTACCAAAAGTTGTCCCTAGAGCAGAAGAACCTGCACCTGAGGCTCCAAAAGACGAACCTAAAACGGAAGAAAAGGAAGCTCCAAAGGAAGAACCTAAAGAAACGGATGAAAAAGAGGCACCAAAGGAAGAACCTAAAGAAACGGATGAAAAAGAGGCACCAAAGGACGAACCTAAAGAAACGGATGAAAAGGAAGCTCCAAAGGAAGAACCTAAAGAATCGGAAGAAAAGGAAGATCCAAAGGACGAACCTAAAGAAAAGGAAGTAAAAGAAGCTCCAAAGGAAGAACCTAAAGAAAAGGAAGATCCAAAGGACGAACCTAAAGAAAAGGAAGCAAAAGAAGCTCCAAAGAAAGAACCTAAAGAAAAAGAAACTCCAAAGGAAGAACCTAAAGAAACGAAAGAAAAAACTCCAAAGGATACACCTAAAGAAAATGAAGCACCCAAGAAAGCGCCAAAAGAAAAAGAAACAACTAAGAAAGCGCCAAAAAAAGCACCTATACAAAATCCTAAAGTCATAGAAAAACCAAAAGGAATTAAGGTAGCACAAGAAAAGATAGGTATTACACCGGTTAAAGTAAAAAATAATCCAAAAGTAGCGAAAGGTTTAGGAACAGGTGGTAAAAGCGCACAATTAGTAGATGATAATAAATCAACATTAAAATTTGGTAAAGAAAAAGAGAAAAAAGCAAATAACGTTTCTACAAAATTTGGTGCCGGTGATCCCAATGTTTTTATAGCAAATAACGCATCAAACCATACATCTACTAATGATGAGGATCCAAATATCGATGATGACGAAGACGACGATAGCAGGGTTATTCCAGCTACTCCAACTACTACTGATCAAGTATTAAATGAAAATAATAATGACCAAATTCAAAACGAAATTAATATTAATAAACAGTTACAATCTCAAAATCATCAAGACAGTTCCAATTCGATGATGAAATTAGAACTGTTTAGTAATAAATTCACTTTTATTACTGTTTTATTAGCCGTTACTTATTTATTCGATTAAAAATTACATTTTTATACTTCATTTACTATATATCAAATTAAACTTTTTAATAAAAAGAATGTATTTTTTATAATCGTTTCCAAAATGTAGAAACGCCTCAAATCGTACAAGTAAGCATTTAATTCTAACAGATATAGCTTAGGTGATTTGTTTTTTAAGGGTTGAAACGAATTTTTTTAGAACTTCCTTATCGAGGAAGAAAAGTGAGGGATTCCTCACCCGTTCTTCGGATAGTCCCACGGTGAACTCGATTATTTCAGTAATTGAAATAAATTTGTAATCGAATTTTTGGCAAGTAATAAAAAAAATAAAATAAATCTGTTAATGTATCAATTGCACGACATTATCCAAAGATTTAGAAGGAGTAAATTCAAAAAGGCGTTTTTCTTTTTATTAGAAAATCTATTATCTTAAGCAGCAAGCTTCAAGAGCAATTTCAAAATCATCAATCGCCCACAACCATACCTTCAACACCTTTTCTTTCTACATCAAACGATCAATTAACAACTAAACCTTTTCGTTTACACAATCATTATGACATACTTTTTTTAATAAGTTTAATGTATTTCTAAATCTTCCCTTTTTAGTTTTTGACGTTCCTGTAAAAGTTCAATTTTGAACTTTTTTAATTTACGTGACGTCATTTGTTCTTAATTCAGTGAATTTAGAAATTTTATTTTTACCTGAGAAAAAAAACAGTCGTAATGGAATATATTCACATCCTATCATTTCTTTACCAGGAAACTTTGCAATTTAATATCTTATGGATCAAATAGTATTTTTAATAAAAGATTTGTTATTAAAAATTGAAATTTTAAATTTCATATCAAAGCCGATTTCATTAATAAAAAAAAAAGAAATTCAATTATAATCCGATTTTTGGGTTTCCGGTCATTTTTTTCAGCCCAGAAAATGCAAATAAAGTCTCGTAGGAAATAGTGGCTATTATTGATGTTTCCGATAAGAGAAATTATAATTTTATTTTTTTTTCATTTTAATATTAAAATCGATACAAATATTTGCGTTGAAATAAATAACGGGATTTTTTATTATAAAAATTGAGTGGTCATATTTTAGATACAGACGCAAGTATTAAAACTCCAACAAGTGAAATTGTCGATCGTTTCATTTAGAATGTTCTACAGAAAATTCTTAAATTTTAATTGGCTGTTATATGCAAGGAATTCCATTGGCTACTTTGATAGAATTCATGGTTTTCTAGACTGTCAATTGTTAAGTATTCTATGTATTATACAATTATTAGCATTAATAATTATATTACTAGTTTTAAAAGTAACTATTAATTCTAAAAGTTATCTGTGTATGAAGATAAACTACCTGAAAGCCTTCTATTCTTGCATTTGATAATGAATAAAAAGACCTTTGATCAAAGATTTATATAATGATTTTCATATTATACCAGTTTTGTTGCTTTTATTATGGAATTTCAAAACATTAACTTATCTTAATTACATTCTTTAAATAAATTTTTTTTTAAGATTCGGTTAAATTAGATCCGAGACAATATACACAACATGACCATTATTGTATTACGGTACACCTGGTTCCTTTCGGTCAGTCCCCGGTGCTTTCCCGTCACTTTCTCGTAACCCATATCACGAGATGATCGGCAATTCAGATCTCAAATTCAACTAAGCCACCCTTATTTTTTTCGATATTAATCATTGCGAAAATTAAAGCGCTGACTGACTGACTGTACGCGAAGCTAATTTAGTCTTACTCAGTCCCCACTAATTCACCAACTCACTCCAATCATGTCCTATATAAGCGAGTCTTTTTAGCTCTTCCTTCCCTCCATAAAATTAAAAATGTCTGCACAGTGGAACGAGGAACAAACCCGAATGCTTATCGATGAACGTAAAAATGGGAACGAAGAATATCACCAAACCCTGAACTGTAATAAGAGAAAACTTTTGGAAGATATTGCGAATGAAATCAAATAATACTTTTTCTTTACTGGGGAAGATTGTAACAAGAAGTTTTTATCTCTAACCCGAGCTTACTATGTAAGTACATCCAAAACATTTGATATGATTATCATATTACTTTACTCGACTCTGATCTGATATTGTAGACGGCTAAAGCCTATAAGAAAGCCGTGGCTGAAACTAATGAGGGAGCTAAGGCAAAAGTTAAAAAGAAGAGAAGTCTTGTTGGAGAACATTATTATAAAGAGTTCTTAACAGAATTTTGGAAAGAACCTGGTATTTGCACAGCGTATTTTTGTGATATTCTTCCCCTCCTCCGGCGAGTCCGATCTGGTCATGTATATGAAAAAGATATAACCCAAATGTTTATTGTTTCTAGGAAGATAACGTCCTAACGTAGGAACAACTAATGTAGGAGCGACATCATCGACATCATCTAATACACCGAGCAGAAGACAACCATCAAGAATACCAAGGCCAGTTGTCTCATCATCATCATCATCATCACCGTCATCACCATCATCCATAACAAGAACCAGTACTACTTCAAAGATCCCTAGAGCGATCCCTTCTCCTAATAGATCGCGTCCAACAACACCTTCTGCATCAAGAACACCCTCAAGACCCGTGACACCCTCATTCTCTCAAAGCGCTGAAACGATTAATATTTTTATTAATTGCATTGAGCCGGACGATCAAGAGTGATTTTATAGATAAATTTTTATAGGTAACGGTTGAAAGATATGTCTTGACAAAAAATGATATGGAAGTTCGGCCTGGATAGGAGAATTTAGCCGAAGGTGCTATAGCATATGTGGAACACTAGGAGGGACGTGTTCATCGACCAATAATAACAAAAAAAAACATTTATTTACTTTGCTATTCTGAAACAAATAGTATACTCTGTATTTTTGTATATGTTAGTTTATACTGCTTTGAATTTAGCCTTCGGCACTTGCGGATTTTTTTTTAATAAATTACAAGACTGATGCATATGACATGGTTAAAAAATCACCCGAAGGAACTTTAAGTAATGTTTTAATGTGTAACAGGGATCATATTTTACAATACTTAATATAAAAAAGGTGCTAAACTTTGAGATCGGGACACCATGTCCTGATCTCGGAATTCAGGTATCACATGACCACTGCGCCATTTCGAACCCTTTCGGCTAATTTTGTCTAGTATTCTTCTTAACCTGAGATGCGACATATTTGATATTATCATCGCTTAATTTTGAAATAGATGTCGCTGAAAACGTTTTTATTCGTTGGATGAATACCATCCGTTGAACTTTATCTTCGCTAATACGAAAAAAAAGATCATAAACTGTCTGACTTCTTTCGGACAGCACTTTTTATAACCTCTTTGGGAAGCTGATCTTTAACCTCATCATAGAGCTTCTTTGATGCTTCATGATCCTCATTAGTTTTTTATAGTGAGCAAGACGTTTCTCTAGCTCCTCCCCGTAGTAGTAGTATGCAACAATAAGCAACAATAAGTTCATGGTGTGCCTTTTCGTTCCGTTCCTCAGCATTGGAGATTTTTAAATACAGGTCAAAAAGCGTTCAATCACTCCAACTTCTCGTATAGCTTCTCTATGGAGTCCTCTCTTTTCTTTAATTTCAGAAAGTCGAGTAGTATCGGAAGATAGCTCCCGGATAAGTTGATTTGTACAAAGCCACATCTCTCACAAGAAAGCTAAATAACATAAATGCGCTTGATGCAAGTAAACTTTTATTGATAATAATTTTTTTGATACACAGTTTGTAAGAAATTATATATAAACATAATTATTAAATCTTTAAAGTCTTGCGACTACTAGTATCCATGCACTTCATTACCACTTTAAACAATTGAGTTTTTTAACG